TTACTATTCAATCCCTGTATTACTTAACAAGAGGATATAATGTACGCATACGTAGCTGAAACGCAGTCTTATAACCTTTTGTTTATTGATATGAGCAACACGACTGAGGTCTAAGGAGCTTATCACTTGGACTGAAGCCCATAACATAACACAGAAGTTATGATAAATCTTTAGACCTATACATGAGTATATAAACCATTCTGCGCAATAATATCCTTTGTTTTTCTCTGGTAATAGGTAAGTCTCGTTCAAATTGATAAGCATATTCATTGAAAACTAAAAAGATGTCGTCAAACATTATAAAATTGCTTCATTTCAGTGTAGAAGCTAAAAGATTATTTTCGGTGATAAAGTGTACTGCCGATGGGATAGTAGGTCGAGCTCAGATTTTCATTTTGCAAGTGAGTCTGGCTTGCCAACTGCGCTTCAGCCCACACGTTCGTGTTTTTCATTTGAATATAATAGTCCTTTTTTGCTTTTCCAAGAGTTGCTCGCCACTAGTTAAAACGCGAAAGCAGTCACCACGGAATGGTAGCGATAACTTACTTTCTTACATGTAAGAAATAAGGATCTGCAGGACCTCTATATAGGTTCCCGTTACGAAGCCGAGAATGGCGAGCAATTTACCTTGGTTTGGAGCTAGAACTAATAAAAATATTTTTTCTTAGTTGTTGAGAAAATGGTATGAAAACTTGTTGACCACTGCAAAGTTCTCGATTTGCTTGAAGTAAATCTGTCAGTGTAATCTCTAGAAAATCATTTCTGTCATGTCTGCTCTAGCCTCTGAGTGGAAGGAATTAAAGTAAAATAAAATTCTAATAAGATTCTGAACTGCTTGAATTATCTCGCGAAACTGGAAAGACATGTTGTTCCCTGAGATTTATAGTATAAGATTTTGTCACCCACTGAACTTGAGTGAGGCACATTAGTAGGCGGATGAAGAGACTGACTAACAAGGATTTCCCCAGAAAGGACTAGTGAGGTGGGAATATCGAAAATCAGTTTTGAAATCTCTGACGCCTACGTTGGGAAATTGTAGTTGCTCGAGAAGCACCTTGTGACGTTGCTTGAAACAGTGCGTCATAGTTGGGTTAAAACAAGGACAAATTCTATAACTGTTTGTATGCTATGTTGTTTCAAGCTGGGTTCCGAAATTAGCGTCTTATATTTCCCTTTATAAAGAACTCTATTCAGTGGACACCTCCGTTAAGCAGACGCGGACACTAAAATAAATCGTACTTGGCTAATTTCTATTGTTAAAAACCTCTACTAAACGGACACCGGACTGAATTGACAAAAGTAGTGTTGGATTACTTCCTTGAAATACGTACAGTAGGTCTATTAGTAAAGATAAATCAATACATTTCAATAAACTGTAGATTAGACCGATATTCGGCAATATATAATTGTCATCCGCGCTCAAAGTTCACCTAGAAGTCTTGCGCAAAGTACAGCACAGCTTCCTCAGCTTCCTCAACAGGGGCACCCAACGACTGTTTTCTGTAAAATATCTGTTCGGAGAAGCAAATATTGCCTAGAGTTTTCTATTACTTGAGGACGGCTAAAAATTTTTAGATGACCGTTCCATTCATGTACAAGCTATGTACAATTTTCGAAGCATATCGTATAAATTTCCTACGATTTTCTGAAGCTTAATTTTCATATTTAACGGCCCAAGTTAGATTATTTTTTGTAGAAAAAAAGGCAACCTAAAATTTTCGGATTCAAAAATGTGATGGCGTTATAAGAATCAGAAAATGTCTCACTTTCGTTATACGTCAAATTTTGTCCAAATTTTTCGAAAAATAACACTCAAGCCCTTGTAATTTCAAAAAGACTCAAGTTCCCCTAGAATGAACGAACAGATACAAATTTTATAGCGCCGCTTAGAATGCATTTCTAGATGGCTAAAATTACTCTGGATAGCCTAAAAATAGTTTTCAATGTATTTAGGAGGAAACCATCGTTGGGCGCCCCTGTCTCGACAACACGGATGGAACTTAATCACAGAGTAACCGTTGAATGTTAATCGTTAACAAACATTGCGCAATTTTGACAAACCTCTATTAACCGGACACAAGGGAAGGTCCCAAAGGTGTCTGCTTAATAGCAGTTTCCCTGTACTTCCGATCGATCCATTATTACTATAGCGACGATGAAATTCGAGGGCGAAATTACGGTTTTACAGCAACTCGAAATGTGGGAATGTAAGATAAGAGAGAGGAAAAAAATACTGCAATCACCTTTGTGCGAGCTATTCCACACGCGCACGATTTTAAAGGCACACCCGCACGATTTTGAAGAAAGCAGCAGTTGACTTTTCTCCCTCATTTAATTAGATGCAAAAAGAATTCGGTAATGCGCTGAAACAACGAACTTGTCAACCATTTTCCCTTCTTAGATGTTCCGTATATGGTATAACGTTTCGTCCTGCACAAAATTAAAACGAATCTGAGCGGATTCCATTGCTTATCGGCCAAAAACACCATTCAATTTAATTTATTTAGCTCGGGTCATGCTACGGATGATATTAAATATATATTACAGTTATTTTACTATGTTCAGAGCCAGGGGGGTACAAGTACTTACCATTTCATATACCATTTTTGACAGAAAAAGGTGTATACCCCTTTAGTATACCTTCCATTGACAAATGGTACCCTTTTCACATACCAAGTTTCAACTTTTCATCCCTTCAACTGCTGTAGAGTCACTGTCTTTTAAGTATGGATAAATCACAAAACCAGAAAATTTTCTCGACTTTCTCCCCAGCCACAAAATCCTTCTGAAGCCCTTTATAAGCCCTCATTTTGCAGACCGAAATGACAGATTTTCCTACCCTTTCATATACTTCAACTCATGAGTGAAATCCCTACCCAATTTCACATAGGCCTGAAGCCTGAAAAAAACAAATGTCCCTTTCTGGCGTAGCTTCCCCGTATAGGCCATTATAGGGAGTAACCCCCCCCCCCCCGGGGGGGGGTAACGTTCGTGATGGTGCGCATGCAATGGGGGTCTGTTTTAGTTTTTTGGCAAAGATAAAAGTAATATACTTACCAGATCTGGGCATAAGGGCAAATCAGCTTATCACACAATACCGCACTCTTGCGTTCTGACCTTATAGTAACTGACTTCTTTGTTTTGAAGTGCTTTTCTCTTATTATCCAATCAGCGTTTAACTTAGCAGGATGATATTGCATACCTAGCTGAAACGCGGTCTTGAAACCTTTAGTTTGTTTATTGAGTAACACGATAGATCTAATGAGCTTACCACACGTTCAACTATAAAATGAATGTTTTGACGCCCCAAAGATCATCAGGTGTCTCGATCACCTTGCATTTCTCGTATCCAGCAGATGGGGCTGACAAAATTTGTAACCTTCTTATTTCTCCTTCATCTGGGGATTTTTGCTCCAACTGTAAAAGGTACAATAATGTGACATTTCTTTAAGCTAATATTACTCTACGTCTGTAGGTTTTTTTTCTGTACTTCGAAAAAATTAATATGCAAGGTTTCTAGCACTTAATTGAGCCCCATGGAAGTCAACGACATTGTGTACAATTTTAGCAATTTTTGTCATCGGTGGATATCCTGACTTATATTTTGTTTAAAAGTATGCTCTGTTAATGAAAACTATAAAAGATGTATTCAAACATTTTTAATCTGTATTATTTTGTAAAGAAATATTTTTAGTGATTAAGTGTACCGAGGCTAGCTGGAGCTGTGTTCTCTATTTTACCAGAGTCAGTGAGCTTGTTTCACAAACTCGGGCAAACGTATATGGTCCGTCTTTTCCATTTAAATGTTCTTTTTTTTCTCTTTTTCATTGTCTTTTTTTTAGTTAGTTCGCCACTTGCTAAGATAAGAAGGCGTTCAGCAACTTACCCCTTTACTAGATGAGAATCTGCAGCCGGCTCTAATGGGTTCCGGTTGGCAGGAAAGTCCAGAAAACCACCTAAGTCAAAGATACCTCCAACTCAAAAGTGTCCGTTGCAAAAAAAGATTTATCATTTGCTAAACCTCATTGCAAAGTTTTTGAGTCGTAATAACAACTCTGTCAGTTTAATCCTCACAAATTTATTACTCATGTCATTGTCACGCTGGGTAAGAAGGAAAAGAAAAAAAATCAATGACAACTGGATTGAACTTCATAATTTTTAGACTAAATTATTTCTGGCAGGCTGATTGGCTAATTTTTATGGTCAATAAGAGGACAGACACATACAATTTTTATTTATGCAAGACGCGGTCATTTGCTGAACGAATGCGAAACTTCGATGCATGTTTTTTCTTTAGTTGAATTAGTTTCGTCGGAAATTCACCTCCTATCTACTAAGAAAAATATCCAAATTGCTCTCTTATGCAAGACGTAATGATGCTTTGACAAAGTTTAATAACGTCAATTTGACATCAACTGAGAAGACAGACACATACAAAACTGGCGTCAGTTTGTTAAACTGAGTTTTTATTTTGTCATTAGTCCGCTTTACTTAATTTTGGAACGACGATGTGTTTTAGTTACAGTCTGATCTAGTTCAAAACTTCCCAGAAATGGGAACTAAAGGTTGGCGAGAAAAAAAAAAACAACAACAACAACGCTTTCAACAGCAGGCCTTTTCTTTTGCCCCAGCAATTGAAAATATCATCCCCAAATCGATAGTAAGAACGACATTAAAGGAGGATCAATTTTATTTCGTGGAAATCTATTTTAACCCCAGCTTTAATAGCCGTTAAAACTGCCCTGAGGCTTTAAGGAAAAAAAAAAGAAAAAGGAAAAAAAAAAAAAAAAAAAAAAACGTTCCCATTTGAAGCGATAACAGAACGGTATTCGACTGATAGCAAAGAAGAGGGCAAGTTATTTATATTTATTTTTTTTTATTCTAATATCTTGACATGGCCTAAGATCAGATAAGACTAGCCGATGAATTTAAGCACTTTATATAATTAGCGGAAAAAACGGGAGAAACTTAAACAAGGATGTACTCAGTAACAATGAGTTATGGGGGAATTTGAAATTTCCGACGCTGTTGACGGTGCCTCTGAGAGACCTGCACGAACAGCACGTAATATTTTCTCGATTTTGTGTTCTTTCAATAGCGCTTTCTACTAATGACGTCACAAATTTCTGGTCCCTAGTGTGACTCAGACATTAAACCTGACCGGTACAAGAGTTTAGTTTGGGAAAGTCACGTTCGGCAACAAATTTTCGTCGTCTTTGAAGATGTTTATCGTTAAAGGAAACAAAATCCGATAACAAATATCCTGAAAATAATCAACGCCTACCAAGACAGCGTTAAACATGGAAAAACTGTACAGATGAGGGGTTTTAATTCTTATAATTATGCGGTGTCATAATACTCTGGGTAAAATTATGTTAAAATGTGTGGAGAGCAGGGCTTCATAGCTGTGCATGAAACGGTGCATTTGGTTAACTTTATAGGCAAGGGTTGCTCAAGTTTTTTTATTTTTTTTTCGAGTGCTTATGTTACGCTACTTAGTACTAAAGGATATAAACACGAGGAGTCGCAAGCAGCAAAATTTCTGTCCCGTAATTTAATCAGTTAAATCATCAAAGTTGACAGGTCTTTATGATGTTCAAAGCGACCGTTCGGTTTACCATTTACACCTTCAGTGCGAAGACTGTCACGGGAACATTAACACCTTCAGGATAATTCTTACCATAACAGTGGTAGGTCGCGCGCCAAACTTGTTTAACCCTAGCAAAAAGCTCTTTTAATGGAGGAACCGGGGGGGCACTTTAGGAATTTCTGGGTGGGGATGTGCCGCTGGGACCGTGGAACCCTTGACCTATACCAGAGCTAGTTCAGCTGAATTTTGCTACCCTATACTAGAGTAAACTCCCAAAATCCCCCTATCCTAGAGTAGCTGTTTCCCCAGTCTAGATAAAATCTTCAACCAACTGATCAGTTTCGTGAAAAATGATACCCTATTCTAGACCCAAACGCTCTGATTTATATACCCTATCCTAGAGTAAACTGTTTGAAAACCATACCCTTCACAGCGGCACATACCCATATAGCCCATATATGGCAGTACCCCCCCCCCCCCCGGGGGAGGAACTCAACTTGATAGTTGCACTAAAGTCTAATAATTGTTACTGCATTTGCATGCTCTCTGTAACCTCGTGGGCAGAACATACCTGATGGTTACATTAATAATAACCACTGCATTTGCTCTCTGTAACCTCGTGGGTAGAACATTCCTGATGGTTACATTAATAATAATCACTGCATTTGCTCTCTGTAACCTCGTGGGTAGAACATACCTGAAGGTTACGTTGATAATAATCATTGCATTTTCTCTTTGTAACCTCGTGGGTAGAATATACCTGAAGGTTACGTTAATAATAATCGTTGCATTTTCTCTTTGTAACCTCGTGGGTAGAATATACCTGACGGTTACATTTAATAATAATCACTGCATTTGTTCTCTGTAAACTCGTGGGTAGAACATACCTGAAGGTTATGTTAATAATAATCATTGCATTTTCTCTTTGTAACCTCGTGGGTAGAACATACCTGATGGTTACATTAATAATAATCACTGCATTTGCTGTCCGTAAACTCGTGGGTAGAGTATACCTGATGGTTACATTAATAATAACCAATGCATTTCCTCTTTGTAACCTCGTGGGAAAAAAAAAATAATGCCTCTCTCCAGGAAATTTTGCCCTGTCCTTTGAGCATAGTGATCTTTGGGCAGCGAATTCACGAAAACAAACAGGTAAAACGCTTTTTTAACAACAGCATTTATATTATTTGGCTTTTTGAGGGAGGTTAAACATTAATGGAATAGAAAATAAAACAAGCTGATAAAGCGGAAAAAGTTATCTTTATAAAATGCGCTTTGACAATGTCAAGGAGTGAAATAAGCTGAAGTTTCGTAGTTAGCCCGAAGAAAACCTGTTTCTGCATGAAAAGCAGGACTGATTCCCTTCTCTTAACTAGAAGAGATGCATATCCCTGTGAACCAGTTTTTTTAACCAGGAGCGATTCCCAGTCACTTCTGATACTTTATTGACACGAGTTCCTATTTCAATATATGTCTAATTCAAGCTTAGCCGCGTGATAGCTCTTCATTAGCGAAAAGGTCCAAGTGATATTTTGATTGACGTGTTGGTTTGGATCCTGAGGTTTTTTAACACCTTTTCTCTAGCTTAACTGGCGAAGATACTCTAGGAATTTGCCCTTCAATTCCAAATTTTTTTGATGTGCTGCCAGATGCCGAGCAAAAATATCACCGCTTGCGGCTCCTCGTGACAACAGAACAAACTTATACAATTTCCGGTTTGTGCTAATGTTGGTCACTCGGTGTGCTTTTCATTTTAGATATTCTGTCACAGACTTGCGAGAAGTACATCCAAACTCTATTTTCTCTTTAGCAATTTCGGTTTTGGATTATTACACATCCTGAATAATGTTATGTCATGTTTCAGTGCATAGCGGTGCTTTCTACCTAAGACACAGAGCTAGGGACCGATTTCAGTAACCTTCTTTGATCGAGTCGCTTTATTTTCTGATTTTAACCATTTATTTGAGTTACTAGCCCAGGTTTTGCTCCCTATAGCAGTAGTGCCTTTTATATATTGGAATTAAGCCCAAAAAGCATTTTAAAAACGCTCACTGCCAATTTCATGAACAATTTTCAAGTCGGAAACGCATGTTTCCGATACAAAGCCTTGCAGTAGAATGCCAAGTTTGTCTGAGTCACGCGGGGGGTCTAAGGTGACAAACCTTATTTTTGGTAATAGTGGAAAGCGCTATTCTTATACAGTCACTCTCCCGTCTCTCTGTATTCACGCCCCCTTGCACATCACACCCTCGCACCATCGAGCTCTGTTATGTTTTGGCCCATTTTACACTTATATACAGTGAAAAAAAAAATAAAATAAAAAAAATAATACAGTGTAACATTATTTTATTGATATTGTTGTAGGCACTTCGTATCAAGTTGGCAAACTAAACGCATCAGAGACGCGTCAAGGATGGAATTGCAACAGTGGATGTGAGGCGCCACAACATTGTACCTTGCCACGCTGCACTAACGTGGTATTTCCGCAAACATTTAGTGGATCTGGAACCGTAAGTAAACCCTACTAAAGAAATTATAAAGTGGCTTCCTCTAATGGGTTCGCGAAAACTTTCTAATAGAAGCAGACAGCAATAAGCTTCATTAGAAACTATCTTCTTGACAAATTTTGATTTGCCAACATTGTGGCTTTTATGATGTTATGACCTCAGCGAATTTAGTGCACATAGGTATATTCAAGTGCTCCATAATCCCTAAAATGCGTCGTTGTTTTTAAACAAAACAAGAAAGTCAGAGGATTCTGACGATAAATTTAGGTTGGAAAATATCTAATCCGAATAGGACCAGGATTGGGGATGGGGAGGGGTGGAGGCGTCAATTAAGGGTGGCAGTTTTGTTTACTAACTATTGCTATTTGTAACAACTTGTTATATATGATGTTATAACATAGAAGGTCGTAATTTTAAATTGTTTGGTAAACACTTGATGCATCAGGTGTTATATCTATAAGACCCAAATAAATATTGTCTTGTCTTGTCTTGATTTCTCATTAATGCATATTTTTACCTGACGCATTTCAGGTTCGAGTATTTGTGTCATTAAGCCACGAAGATCAGTCTTCAGTTGTCCATTCACCTTCCACCGTGTGGGCAGAGTCCATTAGTACAGCTGGATTTCAGTTATGCTCGCGTGCATCAGGTTCTACAAATGACACTGGAGTAATCAACTGGGTAGCGTTTCAGGACAAACCCATGTTAACGCATGGGAGCGTTACTTTTAGCGGAATATGGACAACAGAAACCAAATGTGAGAAGGTGGCCTTTTCTCAGGTTAGATAATCGACTGACAATAATTCTTTAATTTAGTAAGACCAAAAAAAAAAATTAAAATCGCACTTTATTAAGAATATGATGCTAAACAAGAGAGGATATCCTCTCTTGTACTGAACAAATCAAATATCAGGAGTTTTTATTTTTGGACAATAGGGGTCAGGAATTAAAATTAATTCTCTCAGTCTAGTTATGTTTAGCTTTCGAGGGTTGTCCAATACTGTCGACCAGAATCCAGTCGTATCCTCTTGCTTTCCATCGGAAAACTGGAAGTCTCGTGGTGTAAAGTCCTACCAAGTGTTTGGATGCATTGGACACGAATAGATTCCGATGGAAAAGTTCATTTTCTATTCGTGAGAGACTTAGAAAAATTCCGCTCATGTTGGATGAGGGGGTGGAAAGTCGTTCCGATGGAGTCCATCGGATCCATTGGACACGAATAGATTCCGATGGAAAAGTTCATTTTCTATTCGTGAGAGACTTAGAAAAATTCCGCTCATGTTGGATGAAGGGGGTGGAAAGTCGTTCCGATGGAGTCCATCGGATCCATTGGACACGAATAGATTCCGATGGAAAAGTTCATTTTCTATTCGTGAGAGACTTAGAAAAATTCCGCTCATGTTGGATGAGGGGGTAGAAAGTCGTTCCGATGGAGTCCATCGGATCCATTGGACACGAATAGATTCCGATGGAAAAGTTCATTTTCTATTCGTGAGAGACTTAGAAAAATTCCGCTCATGTTGGATGAGGGGGTAGAAAGTCGTTCCGATGGAGTCCATCGGATCCATTGGACACGAATAGATTCCGATGGAAAAGTTCATTTTCTATTGGTGAGAGACTTAGAAAAATTCCGCTCATGTTGGATGAGGGGGTAGAAAGTCGTTCCGATGGAGTCCATCGGATCCATTGGACACGAATAGATTCCGATGGAAAAGTTCATTTTCTATTCGTGAGAGACTTAGAAAAATTCCGCTCATGTTGGATGAGGGGGTGGAAAGTCGTTCCGATGGAGTCCATCGGATCCATTGGACACGAATAGATTCCGATGGAAAAGTTCATTTTCTATTCGTGAGAGACTTAGAAAAATTGCGCTCATGTTGGATGAGGGGGTGGAAAGTCGTTCCGATGGAGTCCATCGGATCCATTGGACACGAATAGATTCCGATGGAAAAGTTCATTTTTCTATTCGTGAGACACTTAGAAAAATTCCGCTCATGTTGGATGAGGGGGTAGAAAGTCGTTCCGATGGAGTCCATCGGATCCATTGGACACGAATAGATTCCGATGGAAAACTTCATTTTCCATTCGTTAGAGACTTAGAATGATTTCACTCATGTTAGATGGATTCCACTCATGCCATGAGGGGGTGGAAAGTCGTTCCGATCGAGTCCATCGGATCCATTGGAAACGAATAGATTCCGATGGAAAAGTACATTTTTCTATTCGTGAGAGACTTAGATAATTCCACTCCTGTTGTATAAGGGGGTGAAAAGGCGTCCCAATGGAAGCCATTGTATCTATTAGATTCGAATAGATTTGAATGCCTGGAGAAGAACATTTTCTATTTGTAACGCCAGGTCAAAAATTGTCATCATGTTGAACGAGGTGGAAAAGTGTGAAACGGAGTCTACTGCATCAGTCTTTTGCAGTGGAGAGGTGTATAAGAGGTCGGGAAAATGTGGTATGTAATCTTAATTGTTTGGTTCGCGAGAAAAGGCTAGTGAAGTCCGATCATCCATCAAAAACTGCATCGCATCATGAGGTAATTTCTTTTTAAAAGCGAACTCGTATTTGAGATAATTCAGTATAACAATATCTGTGTAGCGAATGGCGGTAGCGATATGCGTTCTCTGTTCGTCGAGCTCCCGAATTTCGATATGTTAGTTCGTTGTTATACTCCAGGAGAAGTGAAACAAGTCAATTAGATTTGACAAAGTGAGCGTGCTACAGGATCAGGTAACGCGAACTGTTGGGAACGCGAAGGATGCGATCGAGGGGGACTAGAAACAAGAGTTGCCTGATCGACAAAATGGCCAAGATGGCGCATCTTTCGATCATTGACTTTCTAAAAGAATTTACGAGTAAAGAATTCGAACGGCTAGGAAAAGGCATATGGAATTATCTTAAATTCCACTGTTCCTTGAAAATGTGGAATCTTTCGATATTAAATCACAGCATAAGAAAGCAAAAACGTTACCTGAAGTGCGAATTTGGAATTCCTCCAAGGGAAGAATCGACGGAGTTATCTATTTTGAAACTCGTAAATGGAATCTCTCAGTAGGATTTTGGCATCCCTCCGAAGGAGACGTTTCAGAAGGGGTTTGGTATCCTTAGAAGGAGGTGTGTTGCAAATGGAATCCCTCAGAAGGACTTTGGCATCCCTCAGAAAGAGATGTCTTTTGCCTGAGATTTTGATCCAAAAGTAAGTAGCCAGGAAAATACCACTATTCATTATCTGTATGTACTTACAGTTACTATACGCACCACTGCATGCAAGTACATGCAAGTAGACCAGTTGGCAATTCATTATAATGTGTTAGAGCTGGTATTGAAGTGTAGTTTTTAACATTTACTTACCCGAGTGATGATAATTGTGCAAGTCTAGGTTCGTTTATGAAATGGTTTGGAACTCCTCAGTTCTTTAAAAATGACGAATCTTTTCATAATAAAAGCATATTAATGAAGCATAAACCTTATGTGCTGATCAATTGAAACTTTCAACATTCCCCCTGCCCCCCACCCCGGGTATTTGACACACTATTTTGTGGTAAATTGTCATTGTTATCATTGGTACAAATACGCCCAACTTACTTTTAGACGTCCAAAACACTCACCATAAATTAATCCACACCCCAAACTACATGCAAAAGTACCCTGGGTGTGACACGGTGTGATCCCCCCTTTGAAAATTCCTAGCTATGCCCCTGATGTTTTGTTGATAAATATATTTTTGACAGGATCATGCAAAACTGGAAATTTCAAATCTCAGTTCTGTAAATTGATCCTTTAGTTCCAGACCTTTCAAGGCAAGAAGGAAGGTTTTAAATAATTGTTTGGAGGGAGTTAGATTTTGCGATTCCCTCTGTATACAAAGAGGTAAGTTTTAAATTCAATTCCGGCCATAGTACCACACTGCATTACAAATCAGAATTTCTCCAACTCGGTTGGAATTTGAGATCATATATTTTTGTTTTGTCTTGTCGCTTTACACTTAAAAAAAAAAAAAGAATAACGAATAGTGCTGGCTATCCACAACGTCCATCCAACATGGATTTCAGTGAAATTTGTTTTTGCTTTTAAACTTAGATGAAACTTTATTGTGCGTTTAGTCGAGTGCACTTATAAATTGGGTCACCTTGGCTGTGTAATTTCCTTTTCTATCGTAGGTATGGCAGACAATGATAGCGACGAGGAACCGGTCTTTTCTTTAACTATATATGCTAGCTTTGGCAGGAGTGATGAGATCAGCTGATCTGACAATTTTAAATCTTCCTTCTTGCCTTGAAAGACCTGGGACTAAAGAATCAATTTATAGAACTGAGATCTGATATTTCCGCTTTTGCGTAACCCTGTGAAGAATATGATATCACCAAAACATCATTGTAATGTTCTGTTTTTAAGAGCTTGGGAAGATCTGTAAACCGTTCAGGGCATTTTTTTACCAAATTCTGACCTGCAACCTGCAAATTACACCCCTCGAGTGGAAATATAACCATGGCCATGTAATATTTTTAGAGGCAATAAAGATGTCACCTAAAATTCCAATTTTCCCTCACCTGAGATCATGCTCTGAGAACTGCTAAAATTGGACCTGATCTCAGGTTAAATTTTCCCATGGGCAACCAATCAAAAAAAGCAAAATATGTTGAATCGAAAATAATGATCTTTTTTAAATGCCCTCAAACTTACTCCATTTTCCATAAAGTATTTACTTTTTGTTATCTGCTATACCTGAACAAAGTGGGGAGAACCCAATCAGCAACATAAATATGTACACAATGCTATTTTCTGTCATGGACTTCTATTTGACAATGCAACAATCAAATATAACAGATTTTAGTGAAAGGATACTCTTAAAAGTTTATTATTACAATAACACGAGTAATAGTTTGTTCATTGTAGTTTAGAGGAATAGAATGAAAGTCTCCAGCACAGAAAAATTAGTCTAAAGAAAGCTCTGATTTAAGACAAGAATGCATTTCAGCTACAGCATATACACCACATATAGCATCAGGTATAGAATATAATTTCTGCAAGTTTGTCTTGATTTTGAATAATAAACTACCAGAAGGTGTTAAACAAATTTCAGTAATTATGTTGGCATGAAATGACCTTGATACTATATTTTTTGCTCATGATCAGAGAGAGATTTTCTTACAAAACTTTTTTCCAACAAAATTAATCTGCAGAATATCACCCTCCCCCTCCAATCAAACTGAGTCTGGTATTAGGGTGTGTTTTGCAACTCAGAAACTCTTATGGCAGTGGGTAAAAGCAGATAGAAAAAGAAACTCACTGGCAACATCTGATGTGAGGAATTCTTCTATGTTATTTTAGAAAACACATTCAAGCCAAAACAGGATGATCAAGCTATGTCCTCTTTATGTCAGATATTTGACCTCTACTGGGCCTCTTATGACTTGTCATGCCCTCAAGAGAAAAAGAGTGAGGTACTGTAATACATGTTACTGTTGACTTTGGAATTGTTAAAAATTTTATTTTAAGAGTTTGTTGAACAGAGCCAGAATTAAGGTGGCTTGACTGGATTTAGGGGGGATACCCCCCAATTTTGAGCATTAACTATGTCAGCATGAGTAAAGATATCCATGGGAAAAAGGTTACCCCAACTGTATTATTTCTTATGATCTGGGTTTTATTGCAATTATCGGAGTCACCATGGCAATGTAATGACACCATTACATTTTTTATTTATCTTTGTGTTTCTCTGTACCAGGAGTGTTTTAAGAAAACGCTTAAGAGATTATGTACCTGCCATAATTGCCAATTGAAATACAGTGTATTTTCAAACAAAGTTTTAAGAATCATAAAAGCAGTGAAATAGCATGCTATCCACACAACTAGCTAATCTTTTAAGAAAATCACAGCAACTCTTTCTAAAAGTTGCTGTGATGTTGTAACCCAAGTAAGATAATTAATTGTGAAAGGTTTGAACCCAGGAGTCATTTCAAAAGCAGGTTGAGTTTGATTGTCCGGGTGAACGTAGTCCTGAATAGGACTGTTGTTGTTGACAGTGACTGACGTTTCGACAACCTGTGTGGTAGTCATCTTCAGAGTCAAAGTGAGTTGTATCACGTCAGTTGATGGTATTATCAGGGTTCGTACGGGTCCTGGAAAACCTGGAAAGTCATGGAAATTTAAAATTTCAAAATCCAGGCCTGGAAAACCTGGAAAATATGTGTTGGTCCTTGAAAGTCCTGGAAAATTAGACTTTTCCTAGGACTGTGAATAAGTTTCTTTTCATTTTCTTCGCTCACATTTTCAAGTTTTTTGTTGGCGACAAATGAATGTGTACAATCTTGCAAAATCGTACCTGTCGTTAATCCCAAAACCTGACTGTTCAGAGTCTGCGGTTTTACGGGCTCCCCATGTTCGAAAATTTTGTTGTTTGTATCTGGATGAGAATGGCGCCGTTGTTTCGTTCTGTTTTAAATGAAGTCAAAACGTACTCAAAAGTATTGTTTCCGGCCCTTGTGATTAAGCTGAATGAACAATGCCTGGGAAGTGTACTTTCAAAGATAACTGGACTTCTCACGTGATATACAAAGACTGGATATTACAAGACTCAAGCTCTCAACACAAAGCACGTTGTCGCTTGTGCCAAAAATCATTGGACTGCTCAAACATGGGGGAATCCGCCCTCAGAAGCAGTGCTGTCAACTCACCCGGATAATCCGGGAGACACCAGATTTTGGACCATATCTCTCAGTCTCCAGGTTAGAGTATGAAATCCTCCCCGATAATCGCCGAATTTTGCCATTTCTTGTAGAGTCGACTTTCCGACAATAAAATTTCAAATATTCTGCGTTGTTTGAGTTATTTTTATACTGTTAACATCAAGCGTTTCCTTGTAATCTCCGGTATGCTCTTATACTATAAGCAATAATGTGATTGGTGGGAAGTAAACCGATCAAGTCAACAACATCTTTTTCGCGCGTTTTGTGTCATCGCAAATTCGGGGCGATCGGAGTCAACAGTATCTTTTGCAAAAATGCCGTCATGCGCCATTCGTTATGACGTCATCCATCATCCCTTTGCTATCAATTCTCAATATTTGAAGACGTGGGGGGTTGACAGCCCTGCAAAAATCACAAGAGAGGGAGTAAGCACAAAGAATTAGCAGCATTAATAGCTGAGCGGTCAGTGCCAATTATCCAGTTTATGTCTTCAAAGGCAGCATCTTCATCTAGCTCTGACAAACCTGGTCCTTTGATGTCTTGTGGCTTATATTCCAGCCCTTCAGTACGTGATGCAAGTGCTCAAACACCAAGCTCATTTGCTTCTCTTAAAGAAACGGTCGAAAAACAGTCGAAAACCGGTCAGTAATTAAGTAGCACAGTCAAAAAGTCATCGGAGTTCCTCGAAACGAAAACCTGAAGAAGCTTCTAAAATCGACAGCGAAATAGACCAGAAGCAACAGACTCTTGCAGAAACGTAGCAAAAATGCTGCATAGTTTGTTGGTTTGTTTGGATTGTTTCAGTTTTCCTGGCTATTACTGGTCCTGGATTTTTGTAAATATCACTACTAGGGCTATGTGTGTGAAAATCGTGTGAAAAGGGTGTGAAAAGTGTGTGAAAAAAAGGAACCATGTGAAATCAATGTTGGAAAAAATACAAGTTCACCACATCAGCATTTCACATGCATGTGAACTTTTTGATATGGGTGTGAAATTTTGTAATACATGTGAAAAATTTTTGTCATATGTGTGAACTTTTTTTCCAAGCATTTTATTACATGTGAAATCTTTTCATACATGTGAAACAATTCTGTCATGCATGTGAACTTCAAATTTCACATGCATAATAGATGCTATGCATGTGAAATTTTTCACATGCATGTGAACACTTTTAGGCACGTCAGAGTGAGCATGTGAATTTTTTTCAGGGCTTGTTAAATGCAACGACCATGAACCATATTTTTATGAAAATGCCATGAATTTCTGGTGAATACCCCATGAAAGGCATTTCATGGCTCATAAAAACTGCAAAATTAAATTTCATGCCATGCCACATCTAGCATTCTATGGCTCATAGCTGATAAATATCAAACTAAGTTGACTATGCGGGTGATGAATTTTTGAAGAATAAGATTTGATATGTTAATAACCTAGAAAATTCACTATACTTTAATGCATCAGACCTTTAAGGCAAGTGATCACAACAAACGTGCTGTTACAAATCATCATCATCATCATCATCACCATTAAAGGTGAACCCCAATATACCAAAGTGCCAAGCCCCAGAAGGGCCCTCTTGTAAAGCAGCGGACTGGAATTAGCGTTCAAAGCTCTTTTCACGAACTAGCTTGCAACCAGATCTCTCAGTCAATAACTGTATTAATTATTATTAAATACACAGGGGTTTCAAAACAAGCCGGAGACTAGAGTTCTGCCAGCTACTCGACTGTATATCGCTGGCTGCGCTGGTCATAACAATTAGCTTGTGACAAACAATCTCGATTGTCACAGCCGCCTGCTTTTCCAGAGTTGGCTCCTACTTCAAAACATTTTGAAACCCCTGAATACACTGTACATTCTTCATTATATTTGGCTTGATTAAAACCTTTCGAGTATCCGATCCACATGTGCATCTTTACAAATATCATTGTCTTCATTGTTTGCTAGAACATGCTATATAAATTTATGTATTTTATCAACTGTCTCATCTAAATTTGTGGGTTGTGTATCTTACCACTTAAGTTTCCACCTAGAAAGATGTGTACCATGATTTTTGTTAAGTGGGGAGGGCTAAATCCTGAGAATTAAACCATTCTTTCAACAGATCTTCATTGAGGACAAAACGGACTTAATTGTATTACTCCATCAGAAAACTTACTTTGCTAACATATACGACATATGTAACTTACACTTTATGAATGTTTTGTTTCTTACTGTAACGTTCCTCGTTGTAACATTGAAAGTCCACTTGAACATGCGAACAGTTCCTTGCTTTGCATGCTTTTTGAGTTTTCTTTTGATACCGTTCGTTCAACTAATGATTCCTTGAAGCAAACGACTGGCATGTTCGTGGTTTGCTCAAGTTGTCTTTGGTTCAATCAGCTTTCCGTACCTGAGCTTATCCAACATGAACAACGTCCACAACACGTATTAATTAGTCGCAACTTAGATTCATGTAGTGAAGGCCAGCATTTCCTTAAATTCTCAAAGGTTTCCCAACTTGAACGAACAATTTTAAGTCTTTCTCTTGCTTCTAATACTTCAAATGCACTGGAATATTCTAATTAATGCTGAAAATAACCGCTTCTTCGACTCAAACGAGTGCACTTTCTTCGTCGCAAGATTAGCCGCCATGTTTGTTGTTTCCCAGGCTTCCCCGTGATTTTAGCACATGCGCGAGTTGATTTACAATGTCACGTGTGGCTTGTCAACCAATAGAAAATTGTAAAATGAAGTTCCGTTGAATAGTTTAAATTCACGCGGACTTCACAAGCAACACAGCGATGCAAACAGAATATTTTCGTTACTTTCGGATAGATAGAAAGACTGTCTTTCAATAATACCCATGTTATTTTCGAGAGAAAGTGATCAATTGCAAAATTCTTCACAAAAAGCATGTTTCCAAGTCAGCAACTCAGCTGGATTATGGCAGAAAGGTATGTTCTTCTTGATATCGTGGTTCGTTAACAAGAGCTTATACTTTGGTTTTCTAATAGCCTGCGAAAACATCCGTTTCTCCTCGCTCTTCGCCACTAGGGACGTTTCGCGCGAAACGTCCCCAGCGGCGAAGAGCGAGGAGAAACGGATGTTTTCGCAGGCTAGTTTTCTAATAACTTTGCGTAGGCTTAAACCTTCAAAGATACATCTTAATTTAAGATGCATGCACAGATATGCCATTGATTGATTCTTTTTTGTTTACTGCAGAAAAAACTGTACTCTTTGTTGCAAATCGTCAATGGAATACTCTGAAAATTTTATGTTCTGACGCTAGTAGGCTGTGGCAGACTTGTCAAGACCAATGTTAAATAAAATAGGAGAAGAAATAGCATAAGTTTCCGTTATGCATGCAATGTATACTACAAGTTGGAAGCAATTCAGTTTCCAGTTAATTCATAATGACTTGAGAGTTGAACTAAACCTATAAAATTTGAGTAGGTTTGTTTATTTGAGCTTCGATTCATAATATTCATACATCTGCAGTAAGGTCAAAAATAAAAGGCAGCTCTATCTAGTCTGATGTGTGGACCTTCAGTTCAGAAAGCTGTTCAGCCACTTTGAAAGAAGCAGTCATATATTTAGCATTATTTTTTTCCATAAACATGCTTGTATTTTTCAAAGTTGTTTATTTACTTTGTCTTTTCACTGACATTGAGAGCTAGATTGCTTTTCTGTAACTTGGTATTCCTTAATAAGTGGAAATTGTAAATTGGCCACTATGTCATTTACTCTCATAATTATTACAATTTATAAGAAATATTTCTAACCAAAAATTAGTACATTATTAGTTATTTTATTGATGTAGGAATTAACGGTATAAAAACTGAGCATGATAGAAAGTTTTGTTTTTATTATTATCCTCCAGGCAATAAATATTGACATATAAACAGGATTAGACATTGATGTTTCCATTAGCCTTATGTGCCTTTTGGGAGTAACTTAAATTTACATTTAAGTTCATTTTGGGACATGTGAGTCAGTTGAACTGAGTTTCTCCATGTTGATAATATGAAACCAATTTCCTTTGCCAATCAATTCTATCCAGTTTGCTTTTCACTTTTTGCCAGTTTTACATAAATCAAGTTCTTCTGAAAATACCATAAAATTATAAATAAACCAACAGATCAGGCTATAAACTGAAGTTGTTTGTGACTATATATTCCCCTTTTCCCCAGAAACGCCTGATACTCAGGCTAATATGAAAACACAACCATGCATGCAGTTGACAGTACTTCGGACAAATTTATTGCAAGCGGAAAGTGAAAATGTAAATTTGTGTGTAAATTGATCTAAGCTAGTTGATTTACTGAATATCTGCTTGTGAAACAACATACCCAATTTGTGTGAAGTGGTATGGGAAATTCTACCCTGCAAGCGGAGTTTTCTTTCTTGCATGGCTTTTAGCGTTTACAAAGTCGTTTGGGTGGCTTGTCTGTCGCGTAGTTGGTTTGTTTACGTGTAAACAAACCTCTGCTCGCAGGGTAGTGAAATTCTATTGCCATTCATGATCTCCGATCTCTGAGGATTTACATGTGAAAGCTCATGTGAAACCCCATGTGAAGTGTATGTGAAAATAATGTGTGAATTAGTAGCATGTGAAATTCTAGATGTTTTGCCATTCAGTGAGGATTAAGTACATGTGAAAGACCATGTGAAACCCCATGTGAAGTGTATGAAAATATGTGTGAATTTAAATGAGGATTTACATGTGAAAGCCTGTGTGAAACCCCATGTGAAGTGAATGTGAAAATATGTGTGAAAGGGATGACTCGCTTCACACCCTTTTCACATATATTTCACTATGCAAAATTTCACATGCACGTGAAATATGTGTGTGAAATGCGTGTGAAAAAGTGTGTGAAAAACGTGTGAAAAATGTGTGAAAAAAGTGTGAAAATAGGACATTTTTCACACGTTTTTCACATGGTGTTTCACATACATACTCCTAGTAGTGTATGGTCCTTGAAAGTCCTGGAAAAGTCCTGGAATTTTGATGGACCAGTGGTGTACGAACCCTGTATTATACTCTGGTTATTAATCTGGTTGGTCAATTACGTTGCAATGTTATTGGTCCTCTGTCAGTTAAGCCGTGATGTTATTGGCTATGAAGACTCGTAATCAGTAATCGATCTGTCTATTGTCACAGTTAAACAGTCGTCTATTGTTGGTCAAATTGTCAGTTCTCCAGTAGTTCTCTCATACATGTAGTTAGTTGTATTACATCCTACATGATGAGCCGTGATGTTCACCGTTTCGATTCTCACTGCTATCCATGAGACAAGGCAATTCAGGGGCACCCAACGGCAATTTTCGGGAAAATATCTGTTCGGAAGACGATTTGAGAACTAGAATTTTCGGAACATTTGTTGTAAAATTTCTTGCTTGCCTGCCTCTCCTAGGATTTTCGAACATTTACAAAATGGTATAATTACCCATTTTAAACGGATATTTACCCTAAAAAAGGCCACCTAGAATTTTCGGGAGCCTTTTCCTGGCTGAAATTTTCGAAAAGGTAAGTTTTGATCCCTATAATTTTCGGATCACTAGACTTTCAGCTAGGAAATCCGAACAGATGAAAAGTTTTTAGGGGATAAAAATATGTCTATAACAACCGTTTAAATACTAAAATACGTTCAACAATGCTATGTTAAGTGGTTTTGAACTATATCCTTGTTGGGTGCCCCTGGCAATTATTAGCATTTTCCGGATATTTCTTTGGAAAGTAATTATTTAGAGTTCTTTTAAATGTAAATTTATTTCTTTTGCTAATTGTTCGTGTGCATATATATGAAACTTGAAAACAACGCCACTGAATAATGAGGACACTCACTAAGGGAAAATATGGTTATACACGGTTGTCAAAAGTAGCCGGCTGCCGGTGAAAAGTGCCACCTTCTTGGTTAGTATCAGCCGGCTACTCTGCTTGGCATTTCTTTGCAGATGACCTTTTTTAAATAAAATATCCCTGGACTGGCTGCTTACTTTGACAACTCAGTCATCTACTTCAAAACTTTCTGACAACCCTGGTTATATTGGAGGCCCTTTTTAAAAGCCTTCACTGTTTTCAATGTTCTTGAAACTTGCAGGGTATATTTATTAACAATTGACCTTGAGATTGGTAAGTTTATGAAAAAATTTATCTAGTGGTTTTTTGAATAATGTGAAATTTGTAGGCATGGACCAAATTATGTGCAAGAACTGTAACAAAAGCAGCTGAATGCAGGTTAATAAAATTCTTCTCACTCGCGTTCGCCCAGAGCAATTCCCCTCTTTTTATTTGTACACAGTTTTGAATGGAATCAAATCATTATGATATGAAACCGTGCTTCGAAAGCTTAACATTTTCTTAACATATTAGCTAATTGTGTGGATATATAGCATGCTATTTCACTGTTTTTATGATTCTAAAAACTTGTTTCAAAAAATTTCCAAAATGCTCTCACAGAATTTGTTCAAACTTTGCTATAATTGAAGCAATTATGGCAGGTACATACTCCCTTAAGCCTTTGCTAAAAAACACTCCTGGTACAGAGAAACACAAAAATAAATAAAAAACATATTGGTTTCATTAGGTTGCCATGGCGACTCCATTTGCAATAAAACCTAGATAATAAGAAATTTTCATGTAATATATCAAACATGAGACGCAGTGTTTCATCACCAGATGAAACACCGAGAAGAGAGTTGAAAATACGACGCGTAGCGGAGTATTTTTGACGAACTTCGAGGTGTTTCATCTGGTGATGAAACACTGTGTCGAATGTTTGATATTTCTTCTCAAACAAAATCATTTTTGACGGAGAAATTAAGGATGCAAAAATGAGCAGTTTTTCATCCGATATCCAAACACTCATTAAACATTAATTTCCTTTGAATTTTCTTTATGAATTATTAATGAGTTTGAGAAGTTTATATAATACAGGAATGTTGTGGTAGCCTTTTTCCCATATCTTTGCTCGTGCTGATGTAGTTAATGCTTAAACTTGGAAGGTATTCCCCCTAAAAAATCCAGTCAAGCCACCGTATTTAATTTTGTTTTCTCTGTCATACCTTTTTCTTGCAATCTTTCATAGGTAAAGAGAGATGAGGAAGTGTAGAAACCTATCAGGTCTGGTTCCCCCAAGGACATTAGGAACAAGGAGGATATCTCAAAAAATGATCAGAAATCTCCCCTGTACCTACTAAAGCTGTTATCCCACCTCAATTCTGACAATGAAGACAACAAGTGAGGTCTTATTTGCAGAAGGTGGCGATTCCTGAAGAAGGCACAGATAGTGACAGGTGAAAGAAGGGCAAAGGGACGGGCCTTGCTGGAAGCTTTGGAAAGGCCAGGCATCAGTCAGCCCCAGGTGCGGGAGTTCCTAGAGCTGGCTGATGAAAACGGACAAGTGAGACCAGCCCCTTCAAAGCAGTCTGATAAACCTTTTTTCATTCCTGAGTCTGCTTTGTAATAGTTATCCTTTTAGTTCAGCTCGTCGTTGTTTTGTTGTTTTTGTTTTGTTTTTTATCCCATTCCTCTCCTGGGAATTTTGCCGGGAAACTTGTTTTGAAGCTAGTGGCTTCGTTTTGTAGTCACTGTCTGGCTTATGAGCTAAATCTTACCAGAAGACTGTTTAAAGGCCGTGTAGTTCACAGCGTTCAGTAACAGATGCAAATTGAAAATGTTATTTTCAAAAGTTGGGGCATGCATAGAAAGCATGAGATGGTCTCGTGGTTTTAAAGTAACACAGCTGCAGTCACAAATTTCGCTTTCCCTTCTTTATTCGCTTTTATTGCTACCCTTTTTTTCTTTCAATGGACACTGTTACTGGCTTCATTTGGGTGGGGAAATATTGGGAAAGCTTTTAAATAGTAGGATAGCAGGAAGTGATTGGTTAATTGGAACATAATTATTTTTGCAATTTTTAAATCAATGTTACATGGTTTTTTTGTCTTTTCCTCTGGCCCCCTGTACTGAATATTTGTGCTCACTCTCCCTCTTCTTCAAAGCTTCCTTTGGCAAGGGCATTGAGAATGGGATGAAAGCAGTGCAGTGGCTATAAAGCTAATAAAATACAGTGCATGATACAATGCCAAAGAAAATTTTTTGTTAAGTACAGTTATTAGAGGAGAAGTAATAGTAAAGACCTTTACTAGCTTGTGGTTGTTACCGCAGATGCTATGTTTCCCCAATGTAGGTCATGTGTGACAACATTTAGGGCATGGAAATCAAGCCTAGCCATGTGATATTGCTCCAAAGAATGCTTTCTTTAAAATTGTGTATAAGTCACATCAATAATTTTTGGACACAAGACCTATATAAATTTTAAGGTTATGATGGGTAAATTGTTGTGAGAACACCTCTTCATTTACACTGGGGGAAAGCAAAACACAAGCTAAAAGGAATTTACTGTCTCTTCTTAAGATGTTATACCACTGTCTAATATTCAGCATAAAAGCTACAATCCTGCATTGAAAGTCTTTGGAACAATGATTGAGTATTTGTAATTTATTTGTGCCCTGACTCATAGCCAGGTGCTACCCTTTTGAAAAATACCCTGTACTAAATCTATCACTGTTTCCCCACACCCTTTACATATTGAAACTGCGTGCATATATCCAACATATTTCCTGTAGGGTGCAGAATAGGGTTGGGCATGCATGATTTTACATGAAAAACGCAAATTAACTCTAACTTGTTATAAGAAATTTGTCCATGCTTTTCTCAACAAAGATGTGATTAATAGCAATCCAACAGAGAAGGAAGGGTAAGCCTTGCTGGAAGCAGTGAAATATTGTTTCAACATGAGAAGAGAAATTTCATATTTCCGAGCGGCCATGCAATATGTTCCATTTATTTTATACCACTGAAATACTTAACCATTTCACTTATTAAATGAATAATTTTTTTTCTGTAAAAGGTGTGAGTTGTTATATTGTACCATAGCAGTGGTGATCTTTTCACATGCAAAGTAGACTACGTGTAGTCCCCCATTTTTCCTCAGGGATAGTAGAGCGAGCGAAACGCGAGCGCGCGTAAAAATCACCCCACGCGAGAAAAGGCGCGCGTGGGGTGATTTTCACGCCCGCTCGCGTTTCGCTCGCTCTACTATCCCTGAGGAAAAATGGGGGACTACTCGTAGTCTACATGCAAAGATAACTTACTTGTTATTTTGACATGTGAAGATATCATGTTTTCGAACACAAGCTCACCCAATATTTCATTGGCGTTTATAAAAATATGATAAAAAGCATATTTCTTTCATTTTTCTGAATTGGGCCCTTATGGAAGAGATCTAGAATCATCCAGCTTCAATTTCTGTCTACAGCTGGTTGATGTGTGAAGTGACCAGCACTGATTTATGTAATGTTTTATATAGCTTTTTATCACTTAATGTTTTTTACTAAGTATTTTACAAAACAAATAATAATTCAATATTGCTCAGGTTTAAAACTTCAGCTGTTCAATAACTTCATACATTTTGTATCCATGTAATGTCAGTTTCAATGTTATGCCTACCGCGTACCAGTATGTTTCTTTTAATAATTCTACTCAAGTGTAGCTCATATTATAGTTACCATTAAAGAACGAAGCATATACTTGTGTACTGTCCTCGTTTCGCTGGGCTTTTGCCCCGTTTCATAGCTTTACCGTGCTTGTTTTGACTGGTGGCTTTAAGCGTGCCAGTCCGTCTCGAATTAAGGGCCTAGGGGACTTAGGGTTTAAAGAACGAGTTATGTTAGGTGGGTACCGTGCTTGTTTTGACTCGTGGCTTTAAGCGTGCCAGTCCGTCTCGAATTAAGGGCCTAGGGGACTTAGGGTTTAAAGAACGAGTTATGTTAGGTGGGTACCGTGCTTGTTTCGACACGTGGGTTTAAGAACGCGTTATGCCATTCGCGTAGCATGCTCGTTTCGGCTCATTGCTTTAAGAACGAGTTATTATTTTTGTGTAGCGTGCTTGTTTTGACTCATCGCTTTAAGAACAAGTTCTGTTGCCTGTTAGGCTTGCCATTCTCGACTTAGGGCTTAAAGAACGAGTTATGTTACACGTGCAGTGTGCTTGTTTTGACTCATGGCACGACTAGACTTCCTGAGATTCCATCGGAATCGATGTGTTTCCAATGGATCCGATGGACTCCATCGGACGACTTTCCAACGCTCCTCTAAGTATTGTTTACACTTCCGGTTTCATGTCATGACTAAACTTCCGGTAACTCAAGTGGACTCTACTGAACTTCCGGTTTCATTTTTCGACTAGACTCCGTCGGACTCCAGGTTTTGTCCACTGGAATCTGGTCGAGAGTATTGGACATGTGTGTAGCTTTCATGCTTGGGCTTTTACTTTGGTGGTGTGATTGAGATGCTTGGCCGTGTTGAATGTATTGATGTGTCTGTAGTGAATCAGGAAATTAAATAGAGCTATCTTCATTTACTTGAAATTTTAGTATTTTCACATTGTAAGTAACAAAGCTTAGCTGAAAACTAAAGTTTTTATTTGTAACTTTTAGTAATGTGGTAAATATGATTGATTTCGCCCTGCTTTTTGCATTTATTCGCAGAAAAAGGGGATGAAAAGAAACTCGAGCCAGCATAATTAGATTACCGTAAAATTCCGAAAATAAGCCCCTCTATGAATAAGCCCCTCCAAATATATGCCCCCTAAACCGCTAACGCAAAAAACCCTCCGTTAAATCACCCCTCAAAATAAAAGCCCCCCGGGGGCTTGTACTTGGAAAATTGCCCTCAAATACAGAGTTAAACAAAGCAAAAACGGTAAATTTATTTCCATCTATAAGAGAAGCTCAATCGATTTTGTAACGCAAATCTTCCTCCTTAGATAAGCCCCTCCGAATATAGGCCCCTCCAAAAATAAGCCCCTCAAAAAGGACCTTTGAAAAATATAAGCCGCGGGGTTTATTTTTGGATTGATCCATGATTCCTTTTTCCTTTTCATTTAAGTGTAGCTTCCATGAGAACAACATTGACTCTTATTTGATTTCTAGGAAATGTTGCTTATTTTTTTTGGTTAATAGTTTTTCATTTGCCTATATATTATTTTTTGCAGAACTTTGCTTCCGAGCCTAATGTATTTGTCTCTGTCAAGTACACTCGCAGTACAAAGCCAAATGATGCTATGTACTTATGGTTAGAAAACGCCAATTCTGGAGGATTTGAAGTGTGCTTAAGGGAATTCTTGCCCTTTGATGGAAAACACCAAGATGCAGTTGTGGTAAGAGAAGTATTATGCTCGAGTAATTAAACAATAAAGTGAAAGATCACGGACTATACAGTACTATCATCTCGGATCACGCACTGGTGCATGACGTATTGCATGACGTTTGCAAATACGACTTGTGCCATGTTATTTCACGTGCTGCGTTATTCGGGGTGAAATATTTTTGTTGTCTCTCACGTCGCGACGTCAGTGTTTTGTGTCGATGTCATATTGTTACGAATAATGGGTAAGTAGAGGTGGCTCGACTGGATTTTTCAGGGGTAATACAGTCCATGTTTGAGTATTTCCTGCGTCGTTGTTATTCGGTAAAGCTGAAAATATGTTTTGATTAGTGTGACGTTGACATCTCTGTTGTCATGACAACGTAATGATGTGTTCAACACTGAGAATCGTTTACGGGAACTTCTAATAGCTGTCTTAATGTTCGCGAAGTTTAAGCAAAACCTACCAGAGCATTATCGAGGTATTTTGATAGGAAGTTTTTTAAAGATAGAAATTAAGAAAAAATAAACTGATCAATCTTGATTTGGTGCGGGTGTTTTTAAGGGGCAGCCTGTTCAAGTTTTGCAGAGTACAGAGAAATGAGGTTGCAAGTAGAATATGTAATGATGGCACTGAAAAATCCTGCCAACTTTCAGAAAATGTCATTGACCATTCTTGTCTAAAAGATGGCAAGTTTAATCTGTTCTTTTCTTCGTTTTTACCTTTTTACACTTTTTTTGCCCCAGGACTAGTTCGCATTCACTGGCAATGGAAGTCAACTCAACTTTACAATTACAGGAAAAGAGTATTTTGCAAACAGTGGAAATCCATCAGCCCAAAACAACTATGGCTTTTGTCAGGTGAAAACTACTTTATTTCAACATTTAGCACAGTTATTTGTAAGATTGAAACTTTCAGTCAATCTCAGTAACAGTAACAGTTTCAATAACTACTGCACAGTTATTTAGTGGACAGCTGATTGCCAATAAAGTAACGAATTTTAAAAATACTTTTCAGTCTTTGTCCTTATCATCTATTAACTCCTTGGCTGTTTCCACCTTACCGTTCGTACTTATTTTGCCTGTTTCTTGAGTTATATTAATAGTGATGAATGAACTAAACATCCAATTAAAAAGTTATAGATTTGCACAAGTTCAGAACAACTGGTATTTCTAAATTTTACCTCATGAGAGTTTAGAAATGATGGTTTTCGAGGAGAGGGGAAAACTAGAGCACCCAGAGAAAAACCTCTTGGAGCAAAGGAGAGAACCAACAAAAATTTCAAACCACTGATGACGCGTCTACGCCGGGTTTGTTCCCCGGCTACATTGGTGGGAGGAGAGTGCGGGTGCCACCCTTGCTCTCCCTTTAGTGACAATTACAAGCTAAATCTTGGCAACTCGTTTCGTGTCATTGACAATAATCACTGAAGTGTATCTGTAAAAGTTAGAACTTTGTACTATGCCAGCCGACCCAACCTTATAGCGGTCGCTTAAAAAACTAATAACATAAGTGCTAAGTGATAAGTGCTGTTGTCCGACTAGTCTACGCGCCGATTTGAGGTCGTTACACAAATTAAGGAATAGTTTATCAGCTCGTTGTTTTTTATGGTTGTCGGTTTTCGTGAGGACTCAAAAAGCTGTACGTACACTTATACATTGCTGTGCTACCTGCTTTTTGTATAGAGTTACTCGAGTTTCTTCAGCAAAGAATAGTATGGGTTGTCTTGAAACGTATCTGCTTTATATTCATTGAAAATAGCTAGCCCTGCATCTTATCTTAGACTGAGAGATTATTCTGAGAAGTGAAAGGTTTATAGAGGATGGCCCAAAATAATGGGAAAAGAGCTACATACTAATTCATCGCCTTAAAACGTTCTTGATTTTTCTTATTTACAGGAAGTACCTTTCAATACGACCTTCTATGAATCGCCAGTTGTGATTCTTTCCGTAAATCATCAATATGATCGTCAGATCAAGGGAAGTCGTCTTCCAGGAAATAATATCATATCGGCATGGGTAGAGGTAGGTTTACATTGCTATTACGTGTGGTTGATGATCAGGATTATGGATTTTTTCAGTGCTTTGCTGAATCATTTATGCATTAGTCTGCTTGAAGAGCGACCACACCTTCAGATCCAAGTCACATCTCACTCGTTTGGTCAGGGGATAGAGGTGCTTCGGTCAGTCTTCTAAATTGATTAATGATACCGACCCCGAAATGATCCCCATTTCTCTTCACGTTGACCCCGAAATGATCCCCAATTAATTCTTGGAATGGAACTTGTATTCCGTCACGGAATTATTGCAAATCTGTTACTGCGTTTACGTTCTTAAATCGCGTTTAACATTTCCCTTCAAATTGAAAACGTTACAGTCAAGAATAGTATTTCTCCTTCTTCCCTTCCCAAGAGACCCCGCGCGCGCCTCAACCTAATCCTCAATCGTCTCTCATCCCAAAAAACACTAGATAACTAACCACGTCATATTATGTAATATCCGGTCATCATTTTACTTCATATATATTTCTGTAAATTCGTGATATCTCAGTAAACCTGATGAAGACTGGTATTGACCAGTCGAAATATCGCAACTTAACTGTACTTCATGTTGTTTGATCAGTCCCTGCGGAAGTCTTGTTGACTGTAACGTTTTCAATTTGATCTATTTTGACTGATCACGATCTTTTTGGATCCGACGTTGAGCAAGATTGATAGTACACGGTATTTGCAGTGTTTTTTTTTTTTTTTACCTTAATTAAACTTTTCGCTAGAGTTTATCTGATTTTTTTAGCGCTTTTGTCATCTAATTGCCTTAATGTATACTTTTGCATCTTCAATATCATGTTAAGATTTTAAAAAGTGTTAAAACACCATTTTTAAAATTCAATATCCGAGACATGCAATTTTAACATCATTTTTAGAATTTAACATTTATGCAGTTTTCTCTATAACCAGGGCTATATAATCACCTAAGTAATAATTAAAAAAAATGTTATGTTTCTTGATATCAGTGTCAGTTGCAGTTCATGGTGTCCCAAAAATACACTAGACTCTGTGTATTTTTTGATAATAATATTTTTCGGCGTTTATTCCAATTCAAAGTGTAATCCCAAATTAATGTCATGTGGGCAAGTGAAGATTATTAGTGAAGCTTAAGTTATAATGTTGTGCATTTTGCACGATCCAGAGTTCTAGGATATCATTCCATTCCTAAAATTAAATGGGGATCATTTCGGGGTCGATTTGGGGATCATTTCAGGGTTGAGGATCATTTCGGGGTCGGGATCATTTCGGGGGCTGTACAGATCTGATCAAAGCTATCGTTGAAATTAGAGGGAGTTTATATTAAATCGGAAGGTCACATATCTAAATTGACGTTCGATGAAAATCAGACCATGTATATTTTCTGAGTGCTATCACTTTTTGTTGTAGGAAGTTGGATTAGAATCTATGAAGATATGCGTTAAAGACCTCAGTGGATTAGGATCGAGTCATGATCCCTTAATAGTCAGCTACGCTGTTACTGGAGGTTATTTTTTTTCATTTTAATATATTTGTTTGTATTATCTAAATTCGCATAGCAAACCATTTAATAACATCATCATATATAAACCTTATGTTTCACAACAATAACAGAGCTCTGGCCGGTATGCAAACATGTTGTAACCATACATGATTGTTTTTTTTTTTTTTTTTTTTGAATGGTGAGAATAACTAAAGAATATAACGACTTGTTTCTTGGTACAGATCTTAATCCTTGCCTTAATGTTCATTGCCCTCGATTTGGAGTCTGTAGGACCTACAGTGCGCATGACGCTCGGTGTGAGTGCGATGACCAATGCTCCTCATATGAAAACCCAGTGTGCACTGCGAACGGAACAACTTACGGCAACCGATGCTGGCATAAGTTAAGCTATTGCAAAGGACTTGAGAATAATCTGGTCTATCACCCAGGAAGCTGTGAAGGTAACGAAAAATAATTTCTTGCACCATCTCCCTTGTCCTTCCTGTCAAGGAAAAGTTTGAAGGTTTTGTAAAATTTCATCGGTTTTGACGCAAATCATCCGATAGTTCACTCCAATATTTTCTAATCGTTATTCGCCTTTGTTTCGTTGCCTCATTCCTCCATTGCCGTTTTAGTTCAAAGTTCTCCGGTGTCCTAATTTGGCTAAGTCGTTTCGAAAAACGACACTTTGGTCTGGTAGCTTTTGTCCAGGCTGGTGTCATATAAGGCACAAATTAATTTTGCCCTCATGTTCATCCTTTTTACTTTTTAAAATAAAGCTTTATTTTTCTCCTCCCCTCGTCTCGGGCTTTGCACTTGTTTCGCACTTCGCGCAAAATGCTGCTTGGCTCATAAGGATCTGGAAATCCGTTAAAATCTTGCCCTGAATCCAAAATCCAGGCAAAAATATTTTCAAGAGGCGGTTCGCCTATTCGCCTATCAAACGCCTGTTGCCCAGGCTAACACGGATATTTCCGCGTAGGCGGCTTTCTTTTGACACGAGAATTTATATCGCTTGTCGCTGCAGTTTCGTAACCAAGATTTGGATGAACGTCTCCACACAATAATAATTAATTCAGTTGCAATGAGGCAGATGAGTTGCGGTGGTGAATGATTCTGCAAGAAGCGAAGTGTTTCTTTCGCTTGGGAGTAAAACCAATATTGCTTCTCGAAGCACATGGCATAAAGACAGAGTAGCCCAAAGTTAAGCAAATGCTGTAGGGCAAAAACTCATTAACTTCCCCGACAGACGTGCCTCTAAGTTTTGTTGAACATTTCGTACTGTTTGGAGACGTGCTGGCACGCAAAACATTAAAAACAAAAATTTTTGCAAGAGCACCGTGATGACCGCTGTACTCGTGTCCTAGCAGTGTCTATCCTGGGCACTGAAACCAGCATGCAAAAATAAGAAGCTACTATAAATTATGTTGTGGAAAGGTATCCGACATGGCAGGTTATAGCTTCGTTTAGTTCCAATTTTGCTGCGCTGGAGTTCTCACACGCTTTTTTAATTTTAGCACCAACCATCACCACGGAGACAATGCTGAAAGATTGCTCTAAAGCAAGCTGGTAAAGCTGCCTTAATGATAATGCTTAATTATTAAAGTGACGCTTCCTCATAATGTTCTTAATTTATTATAAAACAGGTTTTCCAATTGTACGGGGCCGTATAGATTTGCTACACGTTCCAAAATGGTCCGATTCAAACTGTCAGACAGTCGCATTTCCTCCATACCGGTTTTATCCGGATAAACAAGTTGATGTTCAAATAACCGTCAACCACATGAAGCTGAATGACTCTGTGACAGTCCACGACGCTGTTACTTCATGGACAGAAAGTATCAACACAAAAAACTTCACCGTCTGTGTCATGCAAACCGGGAGGAAAGAAGAAGGTGCGAATCCATTTGCCACCATTGATTGGGTGGCTTATCAAGGAGCACCAGCCGAAGGATTGACCGGAACGGTTGAGTTGCAGAAATGGTGGTCTGGTACCAACTGCGCAGATGTAACCTTTCCTTCGGTAAGACGGGAATATTTTTGTACGTACAAATTTAACTCATTGTTGCAATAAAAGTATCCTAGGACGAATATCTTAGACTTTCATTCGCCACTACAGCTTTATCCACGTCTTCCAAACGAAGTTAGTCAAACAAACAAAAATAGCTTAATAAATCTAGCTGGATTGTTGAATTCAAAATGAACCTAGCAACATTTGCCGCCATATGGGTGGAAACGGGCCAAAAAGTAGGTTTTTCTGGTCCCGTAAGTCCGAAAAACACACTAGAAAGGAAAAGGAAAGGAAACATAGAAAGATTCCATTTAAAGTGAGGATAGACTAATTTGCCTATTAGAAGTGAATTTCATGTCACGTGCAGCAAAATTGAAGGAAGCATTAACACGCCTTCACTTGTAGTAAAAAGCTATTTTGAATGTTCTTATTGCTTCATTGTTATATTTTTCATTTTTTCAGGGAAAGTTTCCTGAGGCGCCAATAGTCCTTGTGACGTCAGAGCACCTGAGGACTGGTAAAGAGTATGATGCTGCACTCATTTGGATTGAAGACTTAACAAAGGACTCACGTAAAATCTGTCTTCGTGAAATGCAAAACTTTGACGGTAGACACCAAGATATCACTGTGGTACGTGATTAGTTTTTAAAGAAACTAGAACGCCACTGTTGACACAATTTGTGAGGAATGCTGGTTTGTAAACTATAATAGCGATATGATTAAAAGCTTTCGTAACTTCAAGATTATCAGCGAGTGATTGTTTAGTCTAAAGGAGAAAGAAAATGGAAAGTAACAAAAACGGGAAAAAAAATAGACGTGAATTGCTTTGCCTATTCCTCATGCTTCCTTTCATGTTCTTACACGATGCGCTTGGTGTTCTGGGAAATTGTGACGTCTTGCGTTCTCTCCTTGGTCACCACTCCATAGAGCTCAAAATGCTAAGATTTAAGGCCTAAAGAATGCTGGGCTTTGATAAATGTTTGGTGAGGATGATATTAGAATATTTACACAGTTCGGATGGCATGGGCTCCTGATCACTTTTATTGTTCTCTTTTTACAGAACTGGTTTGCATTCTCCAAACTGGACAAGCCTCTTTTCACGGAACATGGTGTCATAAGTTTTCCAAATACGAACCCACCTTTGGATAAAATGAACAATGCTTATTGCGAGGTGAGAATAGGATTACTCAATCACGCCTTTTTATCTCATTCATCATCTGAAGTAACATGCTGTTCACAGCATTCAATTTAGAAAAACAATTTGTTTACTAACATATTACTGAATATTTTCAAAACAATTGTAGTCATGTGCAGTAAAGATCGCGGAAAATCTCTTATATAAAGCGACGAGAAAAATCAAGATGCTGGCACAGAAAACAATGTTTAAAACATACATAAAAAGTCAATCCAATGTTAATTTAAAAACAAACATCTGAAACAAAAAACAACAACAACAACAACAACAACAAAAACAGGAGGTAATTCAAGCTTGTAACGATCAGGAAATAGTGTCTCAAGCGTTGTATGTTTCTTTTATATGGCAGTTCGTTTCATTCACGAGAGTCTATAACTCGACCCCGACAGTGCTTGTCTCAGCCAATCACAGTACGACGGTATCTGGGAATTCAGGTCCGACTCACAACGGAATTACCACGTGGATCGAGGCAAAAATTCTTTCTCACTGAAAACGTATTATAGTGATGTGTCCTCGTAAACAAATTTCAAACCAAAACTCGACGAAGGATAAAATCAAACAGACTGTCAGAGTGGAGGCCATATATAGGTGTAGCTTACTTGTTGTTTCGACATACAGTGTATTGCAAACTGCACCTTATCTCGGAAAGGCATGTGATCAAAATAATATTAGATAATAATAGTAACTGCTGTGACTTGTGTAAATTTTGAGTCGTGTACATTTGTATATAGATATGTTTGCCAGTATGTAGGAAAGTGTCCCCAATTAGCTAATTGATAAATACATTCACACTAAAATGTGGTCATTATTATTTTGATCACATGCTTTTCCTATTATTATTATTATTATTATTATTATTATTATTATTATTATTATTATTATTATTATTATTATTATCATTATCATTATCACTATTATTATTATTATAACGTTAACCCATTGACGGCCCTGCCGGCCAAAACTGGCAGTACAAAACTACACTGCTTAAAACATTGCAACTTTTTCAATCGCGCGAGCATTGCCTTAACTGTCAGCTAGAGCATTGGGTATAATAGAATGCCCTTCAAATTGGGATATCCTGAATAGACGCAAAAAGCGCTTTTTGCAAAGTATTACCTTTTGAATTTGGACAAGATCAAAGCAAAAATGACCGTTTTGAACGTCATAGAAAAACGAAAAAATCCTGTTTCTTACCTTCAGGATTTTTTTCAGAAATCATCGTTGCAAAATCAAAAGTCACCATTCACAGTAAAATTCAGTCCTTGTTCTAGTCTAGAAGTGACTTTTTTTGCTCTTCTTTGTTTTGTGGAAATATAGCCTCTTGTTCTAGTGCAGCCTGGCCTTGCCTCAATTTTCAACATCACAACTGCAGTGCATGCTAGGAAATAGCCAGTTTTTTTTCATATTTGTACAAGATCTACTGTCGCTCTGACCTACCACGGCTTGTTTTCATTTTCAGTTGTCGCAAATTTTTAAATATATGCCGTGGTAGGTCAAGAAATTCATCAGTAGTCGAGTCCCAAAGCTACTTCGTTTCGGAGCGGCCATTATTTCTCCAGTTACACGAGCAATAAGCAAAATTCGAAAACGAAGTTCATCACCTTACTCACTTCTTTAAGAAAGTGGACTCTTAGCTACCGTCACGCTTAATGATGCTCATCAGGAAGCCACTAAAGGTGAAATATGGCTGTAAAAGTACCAAACATCGCGTAGAATCCAAACTTCAGCGGTTATTATAGCTCATCGAAGCAAAATGACTACGTCAGACTGACGTTTCCAGAAAACTCAAGCCTTCAGTGTTTTAGAACAGCACCTTCCATGGTAACCCCAATTATAGATTCACGAAATCCTATGGATTGTTTCTATGTAGAAAATCACTCTAAACCCTGAAAGTCTTGGACTCTACGAGTTAAATTCAGGAGGCGTGATGGTCTTGAACTGTTAAGGCGCAAGTTCATGTAACTGTCGAACTGTTTTCCTCAGACAAGGAGCTTTGCTCCACTTTGCATCTCTTTATCCACGCCTCTTATCCAGGGGGAAGTGGCAATACTGCTGGATGCTTCTTCGGGGATAGACGGTAATATTTAGCTGTGGTAGTGAGGGCCATGTGTCTCGCCAGCGACGTATAACCTACATTTTTCATAACATATGGAAAATTAAATCGTTCTTACTAAAAACACCCTTGTGGAAAGCGATATACATTTTTAAATTCGATAACACTTTCAACAGGGGCACCCAACGACTGGTTTCTTTAAATTATATGTTCGGA